GTTTGAAACTTCGGTTGATCCATTTATGTCGACAAAGCCTGAAACACGTTATCCGCAAAAGGAGTCGCATCAAAGATCTCAAGCTGGAACTGAAAGTCTTGGAAGAGCTCGTCTAGTGGCTGGCCTGGATACGGTGGAGAGCGAGCCTGTAAGTTATTAATACTGTGCAAGCCAAACTTGTGAGACTAGCAAAAGTATAGAAAACGCGGGATCCGAGGCACATAACTCCTCTCAGGAATGCATAAAAGAAGGCTTATAGCAGTCGAGAACAGTCGCAAAAGACAATCAGAGGATATGTCAGACTAACCGGTCTAGCCGAAGATCTGAAGACCAAGAAAGCGTGACCCTTGGTATGGTTGCAGTCACTTTCTGATGTATAGGAGTTGGCTAACCTCGTTTTTGCAATTTGGTATTGTTGCCAGGGCGACTTAGTTGGATACACCATGTCCGACGTCCTCTGACATAGTAGTTAACTTAATTCCCAGGATCGGACCGTGGACTTGGTACATTATCAGACGCATTGCCGGCACCATCAGTGAGTCTTGCCATTACCACCACCAAGCCACAACTCATTAAAGAGACAAACTTTCCACCAAAATGGTTATGCCATCACTCCTCTTTCTCTCTTGGCAGTTGTCTCTTTGACGAGTTGTGGCTTGGCGTTGAAAATGTTAAGACTCCCTGATGATGCTACTAGCTACAATAGCGGCGAAAAGTCGGAAAATGTACCAAATCCACGGTCTGACGTTGGGAATTATGATAACTACTATAGCAGAAGACTTCAGACAAGGTGTGTCTAACCAAGTCGCCATGACAAAAAGACCTAGTTGCCAAAACGAGGTCAACCCATTTCTAACTGGGTTAGGGTGCCAAGACACAAACAGCGAGAGCTCCAATTTTCACCGCTCAAGACCGAAGACTTCTGTCATCAAAGAGGCCAGTGCTCGAGAACAGTTTGACGAGCCCGAGGCGAGTTTAGCAAAGACTTGCCTCTTTGTCCGTTAGGAAAGATACATAAAAGTGAGGATGTTCTTGCGGAATGAAGTAAGGGTGAAGACATCACAAGCAACAAACAAATTGCCATCTCGTTGCTGGGAGAAGACGAAAGATTGCATTTAGGATATAATCTCTGTCTACAACTAAATTCACTTCCTGAGATATGCAGTCAATCATGGATCTAGAGCGCATCTTCAGACAGGAGCAGGAAAATTCAATTGAGCACAATCCCCAGCCCTCTGGTGAATTCAGTGTAGGCGTCAGAGACGCATTGGGCTGAGTCAACAAGCTAAGATCCTCTTTACTGTGGATATGAAGACCATGATTATGTGGTCTCCGGTTCCCAGAACTCAGCCGAGGGACAAAGGAGACCCTATGGAACGTGCACAAACATGCGTCGTCTTCGGTAGAATCCTTGACAAATTCCAGCATCAGACATCTGGAAATGTACCATATCACGAATCAGATGATATAAATTCTTACACAGTCTCCATCTGACCCCGACAACGTCGCAAAATAGAGGTAGAGACAATGTGACGTAGTAATTAACGCGCCGGGATTACACGCTGAATTGTCATGGTTCGAGTTTGGCTGGTGGTGTTGAGACATAGGCGTGGTCAAAACTGCAGTCCACCCTGAATGAGAACACCTTTTGGGAAAGCAAGGCTATGTGAAATTAATTGGAAGCGCCAACTTTAGAGATAGGATTGTAGAAAAATTCAACTGCCAGTCCTTCATCACTTTAAGCGAAATAGTGTGAAGACATCGCATATAATTAACGTACTGGTAGTCTCAAAAGCCTACTTATAAACGAAAAATGAGGTAAAACCGACATTCTGGACTGTTGTTTTCACAAATTGGTCGATTGTCAGGACGACTTAGAGGAATGCACCTTTATCCGGCATCATGAGCCTTGCCAGTCTTGCACCACTTTCACCTACAACTCGTCAGAGACGAATGAAGTCAATTATGTGAATAATTGTCTGACAGTCTCTAACAGTTGTGGTACCTCTCCTTATAGGGGGGACCTTCAATTCGCATGAAAATGAATGGGGAAACGATTCATAGATTGATCTGACTAGACATCCTCTCGTTATCCCAGGAAATTCAAAAAACCAAATTACTCTTCGTATCTACCTTTCCTTACGTCCTGGTGCATTCACTTATCCCATATCCTCGTAATACCCCTTTACTAGCTTAATTTCTTATCTATCGAAACCCAATTCGGGTGTGCCTTTTTGACTTGTCTCTTTGATGAGTTGTGGGGTGGTGCTAAGAATGGCTAGGCTCAGTGACGATGCCGGTGAAAAATCTGGGAATGTACCAAGTCCACAGTCCGACTCTGGAAATTATCATGCATACTATGAACTCCGGACAAGATGCGTTCCTCTCGGTCTCCCCTACAATAAGACCAAGGTGTGAAAACAAAGTCAAACAACCTCTATACATCTAAAGGAAACCGCGACCATACCAAAGGCCACACCATCTTTTTATTCATGCCCTCCATTATTAAACTCTGGATCGTGTTTTCGAACAAGGACCGTCGTTAATTAGTCACCTCAACAGATGCTTGAAGGAGGGCAGAATTGACGTCAGTGCCCAGGTCGTCCGTACTTACAACCGGAGTCTGCCCGGCAACACCGCTTTACAGCAAAGGTCGTCACCAGCCCCGTATCATCAAGATATATCTAACAGTTTTATTTCGTGCCATCTTCTGAGTGAGTAAAGACATCAGTTCAGCCGATGAAAATGAAAACCATGGAAGCATGCAAGACCAATCCGAAATGTTGAAACAAAGCAACCAGGGAAATCCGAATGCAGGCAGGGGGCATGTTAAACCATCTAGTTGAAGTTCTTCTCTCATGTGACTAGCCAACGAAGCATAAATCCCACGATGACTCGTTTCCAAAAAAGGCGAATTGCTCAGAACAAAAGATGCTGTTGTAAATTTCAAAATAAAATTTTAAAAAAGTATTCAAGCAGCTTTAATTCGTATTATTCACAAGTCGGCAGACCTTTAAAAATGTCTCTTCTTTAAGTTTAATTTACAAAAATCAGCAAACAATCGGCTGAAATCTGATTATTAAAATTATAAATGTGCAAATGAGTGAATATATTTGCAACTCAATACAACTGAGTCCCGTCAAGAAGTTCGACAGTTAACAGGGACACAAAAAAGTAGCCAACACTCTATCAGCCTCAAGCCTGCCGTAGTGTAGGTTGATTAAAAAGATAATACGATCCCGTATCTCAGAGCGACTCCATCGGTGCACGTCATCAAATTGAAATGACTCAAAGTCCTTTTGTGCACTGAGCTTGTCTCCGATGGAATGTCTACCGGAACCTGCCTCATGCTGCTCATCTCCGCCGGCATTTGCTGTCTGTAGTCTAGCCTCACCAAAGCCAACGACTGATACAGTTTCAGTCTGAACAGCAGCCGCCTCCTTCAGATTTCTTTCAGCTTTATCGGCTCCGTTCGAGGCAGGCCCACCATTAAGTGAACAGTCATGCAGTTGCACCAACTTCCATGCGAACTCGGGACTCCGTGAACCGAAGATCAGACAGACCCAGAAGGCAGAGAAACAGGCCAACTGATATCCCACCTCGAGCCTCCGACGGACAGACTCGTCGGACGGAGAACTCGGCCGAGACGACGAGATCGCCAGACTGACCGAGTCAAGGCGAGCGCCCAACTCGAGGAGTCGTGCCAAGAGGTGGCCGCGCCGTAGTGGGTCAAGAAGGTTTGTCGCCGCAGGTGAGGATTGCACTGGCGAAGTGAGCTGGGCAATATCGAGAGAGGTGAGAAGATAAACGGCCCTGGCGAGATGATCGTTGGCGAAGGCAGTCAGTCTGGCCTGGGCCATGAGGGAAAGGGAAAGAGAGTTTCGATTAATCTCCTCAGATGGCACTGCTGTTGTGGTGACTTTAATATTGTGTGAAAATGCGTGTGATGAAGAGAATCTTAAGTCAAGCACACGACGGCCGATTCAAATTGCTATGCAGTCTTTTGATTTCACCACTCACTCAGTCCACGAGGCTGGAACTCATTCCGGCAGGCGAAAGCTCAGCTCCTTTTCACCCGAAGCGAGGAAGGATGTGTCGTGAACTGGGCCAAGCTAAGCGTCGTAATGAAGTCGAACAGAAGCAGAAAGGAAATACGCTACCCTCTTCGAATGGGCTTGACCTACGGATCTCGTCCGCCTTCATATTCATACAAAATGAAATGTTCCACAACAAAGAGAAGATACAAGAGATCGGGAAGAGAGAGATGAGCAATCCAGAAGGAAGGAGGCATTCAATACGTGAACAAGAAGAGCACCAAATTCATTAGAAACGTGGGGCCAACTAGTATCATTATGGGGAAATTCAACCCTCAATTCCCCATCACCTTCCGCACCAAGAGCGATGAAGCTGTTACTTAAGATTTATTGACAATTTAGATAACCCTATTAATATGAGTATAAGTGATATAGTCAATTGTAGTGGTGAAATACAAGTTTATGATGCATATTCGTTCTATTTCGTTTAAAACGATAAGGTCCATCCATATCATTGTAAGAAAATTCAACAACCTGTCCCCTTGTCAGCTTAAACGGAATAGGGTGAATCACTTTTCATTACACTAATTTACTGGTAGTCTCGAAACCCTACTCAAATACGACTATAAGTAACGTTGTGGATTGCTATAGCAAACATATGTTTGCTTCATCGGCACTCCCACCAAAAGAATATGATATAGCAGAGGCCTGACCTTCCTTAAAATTCACTTATTCCCTGTGACTCAAGGGTACTCGTGGCAGTGTAGCCGAGTGGTTAGCGTGTCAAGCTA